TAAATGCTGAATCCTTCCAAAGGAGCAGAAGGTTTTTAACAGGAAACTCCAAGGAGAAGTTTGTATATATCTATGTAGCCCCACAAACTTTATGGACTCTTGCCCATTCTTACCAAATGAGATTGTGCCTCAGTGCACATTTGACCCATCCACACCTGGTGTGAGAACAAAGTTGGATTTTAGCTGGGTGGAGCACATGTGGCCGTCCATAAAGCAATTACTCAGAAGTCTTACACAGCAGTTGCATAATTCCTTTCCTATATCATAAGGCAAGTGACGTGCAAGGGAAAGCAAAATTGTTCTTAACTTAAACATTGTGGTCAGGAGGGAGTAGATTATACCACAATTTTCTGTTCCACTGTGCCATTATACCACCATGAAATTATGTTAAAAAATCCCCATGCTGGCAGAAACCTGGGGAAACAAAATAAACATTCATGACCAGATGTTAATATTTCTGTTAATGATTTTGCAAAATGTATTGCAAAATCTGAAATTCTTAGAAATACCATCTCCTTCTTTTCCATCAAAGCTAGGATTCCCAAGAGACCCAGAGGCAAAATGTTTTAATCAAAATAGTCAAGATTTCAATGAAAAACATATTGTCATTCAATTTTGCAATTAAAAATTGAGCTTTTCAATGATATGCAGAAATTTACTTTTGACTACGTTTTGCTTTCTTGAACTAAAAAGATTACAGCAGCTGTGCTACTCTGAACAATTCAGATTAGGTCTTAAATTAGCACTAAAAACATTTTACAGCATTTAAGTACTGCTATCAGAACAACAATATGAGTTACTGCAATCTCTTGGAATTTGCCTACAAACACATTGGAGCCATGCATTTTATTCCATTTTTACAACATCTTCATTAATGATCTAAAAGAACATATGAGTTAAGGTAGAAGGTCATATTATATTTAGACATATTTCCAAAATTCCAGAAGTAATAGGAAGTAATAGTGTAAAAGGAAAAAATGTTCCAAAACACAATTTCAAAAAAGAGGCATATATCCAGATGATAGCAAGGCCAGAATTACTTGGGATTGCTAATGGAAAAATAAATCATAAGAGACTTTTCACTTTAAGGTGCCAGTTCTAAAACCTCGCTGGTTTTTGTACTGCATTATGAGAGACTGTCCTCTTTTACATCACTTTGGGTCCATGAGAGTTGGATTATTTCATCCTGTGGATATTTGGCTTGATTGCTACGTCGGTGGCTGAAAGCCCTCAGGGAAAGCACGTCTTGTCTCCCTTGCTGGGTATCACACTAAATCTGGCCTGCCATCTCTACCCCATCTTCTTGACTCATCCCACATGTCACAGCTAATCAGACTGTTCATGAAGGAACGCTACTTTCTTACTTGATAAATATTTGGTGAATAGTTTGGACAAGTGATACTCAGCTGATGATTTGTTTGCAAACTAATCATTCCAGCTATTCATCACTCGGTCTTTATTATTCACAGTTGTTCACCCAGGTCACAGAGTCTTAAAGACATCTGAAAAATTGTGATAATTGTTTTTGGAGGAAGAGGACAGTTTGGATATTTTTATTTATTTATTTATTTTAATTACCCACATCATGGGATAATCAGAATTGTGAATATTTATTAAAAATATTAATTGCATTTCTATACTTTTCTGATCTCTGACCAAATAAACAAAAAGATTAAGAGCAAACTAATGAATGGAATAGGCATTTTATACACTCAGATGTCATTGGAACAAGATCTACCAATAAATCTTGAAGGGACAGAGTTCTGTACCACTGTAGGAATAATGAAGACAATGTTTTTAATCATATTACAGGAAAATTATAATTGGAAAGCCAGAAGAGAAAAAAAAAAAGGAAATAAAAACCCACAAAAAAATATAACAAAACCAGACAAAGCAGCCAAGGCATTTTAATGAACAATCACTTATTTATTGTTTTGGTTTGTGGATGGGAAAAGGGAAAGAGGGAATGTTTCTGATAATTTCTGATACTAAATCCCAGAACACACAATTTTATAGTGCATTGTCACATCTGTGATTTTAAAGATAACTCATTTTTCATGGGCCATGTCTGTTTTCATCTATTCACTCACAATGGAAGTGGCCAAACGACAGCAGCTTAAGGAGGTGAGCCTGGGGACTGAGAGCGAGTTTGTGCTGCTGCCCCAACACAGCTCTTTGCTTGAAGCACTATTTTAGTCATTGATTGCAAAAGGTTTGGAGCACTTCACACAACCAGCTGGCATGTGTTAGCTTCTAAATAGCAACTTTCTGAGCAGCCACAGCCTGCTCACTTGCAATTGTCATAAATAATCATACATACAGAAGTCAGAACAAAATTATTCTTGCCTGTATTTGTTTGTCCTTAACAGTTAAATGGGGCCAGATTAGAAGAACAGTTTTCCAGTGTATATCTAGATAATTGATACAGGAGTCAAAATATTAAATATTTGTATTTCTCATACTCCTAAAGTCCTAGCAACAGTAAAAATAATTGCTATTTTTCCAATTTATTATGAAACAGCTATTTTTAAAAATATTCTTTCACTTTCTGTTTGGTGACAAAGACTCCTTGCTGTGGTCTCTGTTGTCTATGGCAACCCTGAAAATGTTTGACTCTGTTTTGAATGGAAATAAAATGTATCAGCAAATCATAGAAGAATTATCAAGAAGGCAATTCAGCACTTAAAACTTGAAGATATTTTTGAATAATTAACCTAATAATAAACCTACTAAAGGTGTTCAGCAGGAGGAGAACAGACACAAGTAGATGGAAGATAAAATAGCAGGTCTGTATATAAAATAGCAGGTCTGTCTATAAAGCACAATTCATGATAAACAAATAGATATCATAGCTGGGGTTATAAAATATAAGTGTTTGGGTTTTTCTAAAAATTAATTGCAAGATCTGACTCAAAAAGTTGTTTTGCTTTTTCTTTTCCTTCCATTGCAAATTATTTACATAAAAGAGAAAGAAAAGATTATAATCCAGATGAGGAAGCTGAAAATCCTGGTTGTATTTTGTTGTGAAAAAGTATAAATTCATCCGGATAGAAGACTTATGTTTCTAAGTTCTGCTGTGAGCTTGAGCAACTAAAGATAGCTGTAATTTCCTGAGCTCAGCCAAAGATGTTCACCTTGGAAGTCTTTAATAATCCTGCATAACATCGCAGCCCAAAAAACATACAACTCAAACAGGTAGTAATATGTGATTACACAAACCACCTCATTCTTCTGTGTTCTTGCAGGTTAGAGAAAGAGGTTTAAAATAGAATAATTGAGGCAATCAGGTAACAAGTTCCTAGCAATCAGGGACTGTGCGGAAGTCACGGAAACTTGCCCTTTACTGAGTAAAAACCATAATAATCAAAATTACCTCATACTTTTTTACAAAGTCAGATATAAGAATACAAATCAGCCTTAGCTCTGCAGTACAGATAGAAATGTATATTGTCAGGATAAGTAGTAATACAAAATGAAAATAGAGGACAGCTACCACACAAAAGAAAATTACTAGGAAATAACATAGTTTGAAAATTAAATTTTCAAACAGTCACTTCATGAAAGCCCAGGAACAACCACCCATTAGGAGAAGTGGGTAGAGAAAAGAAAAGAAAAAAAAAATCAGTTACAGGGAAATCTGACATATTTACGGAAGTGATTTTTTGATGTGAGAGTATGGTGAGGAGCAGTGAATTTGCTGATCAGGAAGCTCCTATGGCAAGTGTGTCAACCCTCCTTAGGGGAGACATGAAGAGAAAAAGAGAGAAATATCAATTAAAGAATGTAAAAAGCTTCCCATCAATTTCAAGCCTAATTTCATGTCAAGAAAATGAAAAATATTTTTTTAAAGTTTTTTTCTTTATCTAAACAGTAAGAATTTGCTAGAACAGGTGCCAGCCTATTTATCCCAGAAAGCCATTTAAACAGAAGTCAGTCTAGAATCCTAACATCTAATTTGCTCATATTGCTAATACTAGTTGGTACAGTGCAAAAACATTTCACTCTTTAAGTTAATTTACTCATTGGCTTTTGAAAATCTTGTAAATTCCTCCTTATTACAGGCCTGGGGCAAATCTACAATTGGTGTCTACACTGTTTTACATAATCCCTCTGAATAAATATGAGGTAGAAATTACCTTAGTTCTTTTTCATGCCAAACATACATTCTGATTATTTTCATGATCCTGGAAAGTTCAAGTGCATAATTTCTCTACTTACAGCACAATTTTTCACTAGACACTCAACTATGGTTTGCTGTGGCTTTTTTTGGTTTGTTTTAGCTTTTGGGTTTTTTTTTTTTGATAACAAAACCCAAGAATTGTGTGTGTTCAGAGGGTTTGAGCTCAAAGCAAATACTTAATATTGTAAGATTTGTGATAAAATCAATAAAACTGCTGACACTGAAATTTACTTCAATTTACAATCTGCTTTTTTTTCCTCTTGAAATCGAATGCAATTCAAATCATGAGATGAACATCTGCAGCCCTTTCTGATCCTTTATTTTTTGTTTAAACTCGGAATCCCTTCTAGTTTTTTGCTAATTCTTTCTTGTTCTGTGATAAACCTGTTTCAAGATTTTATAATGAATCACAGTAAGCAAGCAAGAAACCATTTGGCTAACTTTGAAAAACAGGTGCCATGTGTGGAGAGAACCTCATGTAGGGTACACACAGGAAACAATGCTCTATTGTTTTTGAGATAAATTGCTACATTAGAGATTAATTAAAGAGAAAATGCCAACACTTTTAGATTGTTGCTGTGTTCATCAAGATAGAATTAAAGTGTATATCTATTATGTAGAATAGCTGGTTTATGGGAAGATGGAGTTTTCTGCATCATCATAATCAGCCCAGAGTTATCTGTAATTAAATATCCCATCTAGCAGGTGGGAATATTGGCTCTTACTTCCAAAAAAACTTAAAAGACCACCAAATTATAAAAAAAAATACTAATTCTAGTTTAAACATTTTTAAAGTTTTAAACAGAAATCCCCAAAGATGTGGACTCTCCAAAAGTGAATGCTTTTAATAAGAGACTAGAATAACATCTATGAGAAACAGCTTCACATCGCTTGGCTGTTTAAAGGGAGAAGGCAGAACCAGATCATTTTCTGAGGTCCTTTCAAATCCTGGTGCTTTAGGAGACTGTTGGTAGGTGGTTAGAGCCCTTCTTCAGGATGCAGTCTAGCTTCCAATCACCACTTCAACACCTGGGTAGGAATTCTAGGACAGAGACACCACTATCTCTCCTCTCTGGTGCCTGGTGGTTATGATGCTGACTCAAGACATAGCTCAGGTTTCTGCTGAGAAACAGAGGGACTTAATTCATGCCTCACTATTAGCACATAACAAGGTATTTCTCATCCTTCCACTCCCACTTTCAGCAAAATTTCATCATGGATATGAGAAAGGCAATAAAACCTCAAAAAAGAAAAAAATTGTATCAAAGCTAGTCAATTCCCAGAAGCTTCTTTTGTTCTAAGTCGTCATTTTCCAGACAAAGGAAATAATGTGAACTAACTGGAAAGACCACAGAAATATTAATCTAGAATCACATCTAATTGTGATAGTGTGGACACATAGTTATACATTCATATATCTTGGTGTGAAATAAAAAGACAGATGTGATCAACAGGTTTTTTTACACAAAGCTCCTGCCTCTTGCAGTCATAACTACAATCAGCATGAGGGGAATAAAAAAAAAATAAAAATGAGATTGGCATGAATGATTTAGGGATACACAATAGTAATTGCCATTGTATTTTACAATTGTTATGTCAACCAGGCAACAACAACAACCAATTAACTAACCAACAAAACAAAAAACACAAACAAACAAAAAAGAGCCAGAAAAAAAATAAATGGTAAGAAAAGAAACCACACAAAGCCTGGAAACTACTCTGACTCCCTCAGAGCCCAGGACAAGTAATAACTACAGCAGCTTTGACATTTCAGAAAGGTTTCCACTGTGGTTTTACACTAGAATCATATCTAATTAGTTTCTGATGATCTTATTCTCATTTTAGAAAGAAATAAAACCTGATGTAAGTTTTAAAGAACATAAAAATACTAAGAAATAGGAAGGAAGAATTGTATGTATTTTTTTTCTTGTAGTGATAAGGAGACATTCAGGTTGGTATTTGCTATTTTAATACTTTTGGCAGAATAAGTTCTACCTTCTCTTCTACACAGAAAATAAAAAAGTCTTTTGTGGCATGGGGGACACAGTACAGAACTTGTAAAGCAATCAATCCTACCTACTTTCAGGCAGCTGTCCCCAGCTGCTGAGTTAGGTAACGCCAGAAGTGATGGGAGTCAGGCACATCCAGAAGCTGGTTCTGGTAACCTGAAGTCATTTCACCGATTCTGGATGGGGATTGCAGGACTGTCTTTATAATGGGAACACCTCACCTCTGTAGGACAAATCCCAGCTGGGAGATGCAGAAGGGCTGATATGAATGAAGCCTGAGCTGGACTGGCATATTTAAAATGTAAGTTCTCAAAAGTATCAGTAAGTATGGTAACATGTACTTATTTACCACAGGACTTCTGACAGCTGCTGGAAGAGTAGCTATAATGATAGAAGTCCAAACTATTCTCAGCTGTAACAGAAAACGTAGCAACCACAAAATGCATCTTAGAAGGTTTCATTTGGTGAAAAAGAGATTTTTTTTTTCACTGGAAGGATAAAGAAATGCTAGAATATGCAGTCCAGGGTGTTGTAGAGTCTCCATTCAAGGACATTTTAACAATTTAGGGTAGACAAAGACATTGTTGATGTGATTTAGTGCTGGTGACAGGTCTGCCTCAAGCAGGAGACTGGAGTGATTCAGAGATCCCCTCCCACCCACGTTTCTATTCGGTGATTTCTGTGTCTCATTGAGGGTTTCTTCCTCCACTACCATAGCAGATGCTAAACAAATCAGCATGTCAGTTGGGTCATCTCATTCAGAAAAATGTAATAAATATTCTGGCTCTTAGCAAAATGCTTCAACAGATGTGTGTTTTGCATTCTTCTATAAATGCCTCTCCATGAAAAACAAATTTTGTTGGTTGAGACTGAAACTTCTCCTCCTTTGGTTATCCATCTTTGCAGAGTGAAGTCTGTCTGCACTGCTGTACCCCTGTCCCTACCGGCACAAAGGCAATAGGCAATTTGTAGCCAAGAAGGGAAAGCAATAGATCACCCAGCACTTATAATCTGCATGCATCTTAAATTTCAGTCTGAAGGTCTAATACATACTTCTGAAACTTGTTATGTGCAAATGGTCCCTGTGTAGCACCTAAATCAATGTTGCATTGTTTTGACCTTTTGTACAGGTGTTTTACATTGAAAAAACAGACCTCTTTATATTACAGGGATGTCAGTTAAAGGAATTGAATAAGAAAATCTTACCTGGTAAAGCCACACTTTCTATGTACAGACTCACCAAACATGAATCATATATGATATTTGAAAGCATAAAACTAAATGCCATTTTATAGCAGGGGTTTAAAAACAGAAATAAAACAAGAGGAATGGATACTTTTCTTACCACTGATGCATTTTACTGTCAGTTCTACCATAAAGGGAATACATCAGTTCCTGGTACCTAGGGGGAAAAAAAACCCAAACCAACCCTGATTAAATTAAGCTTGTTTCAGTAAATTAAAAATCCTCTACAAGTCAGTGGTTTGAAGAGCTGGTAGGAGTAACCACTTGACTCCCAAAGAAAGTGCAGCATCCGCAGGGGAAAAAGTCAGTCCCTCTGGGCTCTGACTCTCTGAGAGAAAGGTTATTCCAGAACAGCCTATCAACCTTCAGTCCAACCACCACTGGCATTTCTCCCTCCTTGTCTCCTTCAAAAGATTCCCTCTTCTAGGACTTGGAGAGGATTTCCAAGACCTTGCACAGGACCTGCCCTAAGCCTTGATTATCCCAAACCCCACTGGCTCTCTGTTAGTAAGGGACTCTCACTTCTCATAGTTTGGGTGCAGATGAATGGCAGAAAAATTTTGTGAAATGACTGGAAAGCCCCAGCAGAACCCCAGTCCCTGTTTCTGGAACATGCACAGGAAGCTTTCCTGAGGTTCATCCTAATATAAAAACAAGGTATCTGAAAGATGTCTCTAGACTACACTTCAGAGTGCACCTTCAAAATTGTTCTGCTCTCTTAATTTCTGTATTGTAGCATTCAAGTGATAAATTAATCACTTTTCAAAAGAAAACAGATTTTTTTTTCTTATGTTGAAGGCAATTTTTGATTAAAGACTGTTTTTTTTTTTTACAATCCAAAACAATTAATTTGATTAATGGTCACATTTTCTCTTGAAAATAATCTCAGCAAATTTTTTTTTCTTAGGCTTAATTTTGGGAACTCAGTGTCTAAATATCTGCCAAAGTTTTACTATGCATGGCTGTGGAGTGTGGTTCAAAGACTTCACACGCTGCTGTTTTCCTGACATTGTTGGAGGGGAAGAGCTGTTTTCTAACATGAGTAATGGATTTGCAATCTATTCATTTGGGCTGAGGTGTTTAATTTTAGGCAGCCAAGCTTCTTGTCTCAAGTCCTTTGTGCCTCAGATTATCTACCTCTAAAAAGGATATAATGTTCTGTGTTTATCTCCAAGGGCTGACAGGAGGTTTACTTAATTTACATCAGCAAAGTACTTTGCAATCCAAGTAAAACGTGCCCATTTAAATGCAATGCTTTATTACAAGACAGGAGTAAATGCTACTGTCATTTATCCTGGTGTCAAATGGGAATAATCCCACAGAAAACCAAGGAACTGCACATGCGAGAAGGCAATGGAGAATCAAACACGTGATCCCCTTCAGTACCAAAGTGAAGCTCAGAAAAAAAAAAATTAAAAAATCATAGAATCATTTAAGTTGGAAATGATCTTTAAGGTCTTTGAGTCTAAATGTCAATGGAGAACTGCCAAGCCCACCACTAAGCCATGTCCCTGAAAGCCTCATCTGCAGGTCTTTTAAATACCTCCAGGCATGGTGAATCCACCACCTCCCTGGACAACCTGTTCCAGTGCTCGACAATCCTCTTGGGGAAAACATTTTTCCTAATTTCCAACCTAAACCTGCCGGGGTGCGATTTGAGGCCATTTCCTTTTGTCCTGTCACTGTTGCCGGGGAGAAGAGGCCAATCCCCACCTGTCCATAACCTCCTTCCCGGCAGATACATAAATCATTGAGTCTCCTTTCCTCCAGGTCGAGCCCCCCAGCTCCTCTTAGAACTGGTCTGCCCCAGACTCTTCTTTCCCAGCTCCGCTGCCCTTCTCCGGGCACGCTGCAGTGTCTCAGTGGGATCGCAGAGCTCTGTTTGCGCTCCCCGACTCGCCGTGGCCGTGGCTGTCCCTGAGGGGGCCGTGGCTGTCCCTGAGGGGGCCGTGCCCATCCCTGAGGGGGCCATGGCTGTCCCTGAGGGTGCCGTGCCCATCCCTGAGGGGGCCATGGCTGTCCCTGAGGGGGCCGTGCCCGTCCCTGAGGGGGCCGTGTCCCGCGGCCCGGGGCTCACTGCTGTCACAGCCGGGCCCTGGCAGCGGCCCAGGGCGCCGTCACTGCTCAGGGCTGAGGCCCAGCGGCTCAGGCGGCAGGAGAAATCCCCTGGCCGTACAGTAAGTCCTGTGACACGGTATCATTTGACTGAATTAGCTCAAATGACGGGGATGCAATTGACCGAAAGCTGCCTGGGGCGGTGACTCAGTCTGTGCCCGCAGCGCCCGTGCCAGCCGGGCCCAGCGGCTCCCCAGGGAAATCCGGTGGCTCTGCCGGGGGTGCTGCAGTCATGGACAGAGCTGCGGGAAGAACGCATTTCTGAAACTGATTTCAAAACCAAAAGTGAGTGAGGGTCAGAAACAAGAGGCCAAAGTGAAGAAATGTGGTAGGTCAACAGAAATGACAGAGTCAGAAGTTATTTCTGGCATCATATCTGGCGACTGTGTTTGAACATTGGTGATTAACATATCAGTTATGCCCGAGTGTGATGCAAGAGCTCGCTGAGTGGTTTGCCTGTGTGTTCAGCTCTCCAGCCTGTCCACTTTGTCCAGACAAAATCCCAACATAAAAGGCTTATCTTGCAAATTACCCAGCACAGTCATCCCAGGAGTTTACTTATTAAAAAAAAAAAAAAAAAAAAAGGAAAAAAAAAAAAAAAGGCCCCACTGCTGCCTTCTACAATGGGAGTTTCTAACTTTTTTCCCCCTAACTTTTTTTCCCAAAAGTGGCCAAAAAAATTGCAGTACATAACATACTAGCAAAACCAACAATGAAGGAAACCCAAGTCTGTCTCTGTTGCTTGTTGGTTTAATGTCGTAGCAGGACCCAGGTCTATTATTTGTGTGCACAGTGGTTGTGGTGAATGGGGAAGTGTGAAATGAAATAAGGGTTGGTGAGGAGTTGAGTTGAGGAGGAAAGAGAGTTTGTAACACTCTGAAACACTCAGGAAAGTGAAAGCACAAACTGGTATGTAGCAGTAAAAAGTTGGACTATGAAGTGGAAAAATAGAAAATAAAAGGAATTAAGAATTTGAGTGTTTTCAAAGAATGAATAGGTCAAAAAAGATTGTTGCAGAATATAGCTCTGGACCTAACCCTATACAATTTTGTCTGTATTCGTAGAGGGGTGAGTGGCAGGGATGAGATACCTGACATGTTTGCAGAACAGTTGGGGCTTTGCAGGATGTGCTCATTTTTTTGAGAGCTTTGCCTTCTCAGAACTGCTTAATAACTATAATTTAAAATAGTCAAGAACACATGATAGTGTGAATCATGGTTCCTGTGGCAAACCTGTGGTAAGAAGTTGTGCCAGCAGTACTGTAACAGTTTATTAGAAGGTGAACATATGCTTTTCATCCAAAAAGGGATATAGCAAAGGCATTTTGAAGACTGAAAATCCATTAATCAAAAGAATATGTTTCTGTTTGAAAAATAAAAATTCCTTCATGTACCCAAATACAAATTAATCCACCTACTGCTTTGGGTCTTTTCCACTAAACAAAGCTTTTTCTTCTTCAGAGAGACAGAACTAGCAATACTCAACTGTACACCACACCAAAAATATGTTATATCTTTAATTGCACAAATATTCCACTAAGTTAAAGATGGCCTAAAGCACTGAAATTTGCCATTCAACAGCTCATCAAAGGCTTTGAAAAACTTTTTAAAGAAGAATAATTTCTAACTGAAGATTTCTGCAGACAAATGTAGAGGGTCACATTCTTAGCTGGTATAAAAATGAGGTAAGTCCAATTAGATTATTCTAATTTATGATCTTGAGACATTTTTGAGATAGTATCTATGAGATATTTTTCCATTAAAGGCTCTCCTCCCATGAGACTTACAAAGGGATACATTTTTACTTTTTTACTTTTTATTTTTTACTTTAAAATTTATTATTTTACTACTTTTAATTTTCAATCTTAAAAAAGTAAAAGTAAGATATTTTTAATAGGTGAATCAAAGGCGGTATTTCTCACTCAAGGCCTGGGTAAAAGAACTAGGTCTTTCAAGATAATTGAAACTTGAGATGTTTTCCCTTAAAAGTTTCTAGGACTTTTTTAAGAAATAGTATTAAGAATATAAACACTTATTTTTCCTATCTGCAAAACTGTGTTGTTTTCCCTGTCAGAATGCTTTTTTGTAACAATTCCTGGATTGCATTTCCTGATTACATAGAAAAAAAATTGCAACTTTCTGTTTTAAGTTGCAATCTTTCTCTCACCTTAAGGAGTTGAAAATGCATTCTCTACCCTATATAGGTATACAGAAGAGTTTAAATGTTAACCACAGCCAGGTTTTCAACAATATGAGCTGAGGCATAGGTAAGGATTTAAATCTGATTTCTGCATGAGGATTCCATCGTTCGATGAACAGCAATAGGGAAAGTGGTGGACTAAATCAAGTTTGAATTTTAGCCCCAATCTGAGACATTAGGTTTTGGACCAGATTGTATCAGAGGGTTTGAAAATGAAGTCGTTGCACTGTTGCTTAGTGAACTGCTGGGCATTGACTTGTTCACCAACATTTAAACACAGAATTTAATAGCTATTCAAAGAGAACTCCAGAGGGTTGGATTCTCCAGAATCAGCCTACCTAATTGAATGGGTCAATTTTATACCAGTGCATTGCTTCATTGAGAGCTACAAATCAATTCACATAAAATCTCCATTTTTTTACCATAGTTTTAAAAAAGCAGAATCCAAAGCAGCTTCTCGAGTAAATAATTCTTGCTCAAAATGGCTCTGTTTAAGTCATAACTGCAGCATTTAACCTCAGAAGGGAAAGGTATAGCCTTGCTACTGAGATGCTGTGAGGAGTGGGTTTGCTGTTATTCCTGTTTAACAGAGCTCTCATGCAATGCTCTCGGTCCCAGAGGATATTCTTTCTGTGTTTTCTGCCTGCCAGAATAGTGGGTACCAAATCACAGTCCATATAGTCTATCCAGAGAAAGAGAAGCACAGCCTAGACAGGTCAAAATATGTAAAGCTCTACTAAAATCACACAATACATAATCGAGTGGAGGCCTGAGCTGCCATTAACAGCACAACACAGCTTGCACCACTTTGGGAGGGAAGGAAAACAGCCACAACAGTTTAAAAATCCTGGTTCCCCTGTGGTCAGAAATGGTATGCTGGAACTTGAACCAGTATGCAACCACATTTAAACATAACTGTGGCTGGAATGGCTTGAATTCTAATGTGGACAGTACCTAAATTAGAAAAGGCTTGGGAGAAACTGCATGCTAATGTGCATAAGGGAGTATAAATGACTGGCACCAGTGTCACTTTCACTTTGTTAATTAAAGCAGCCTCAATCATTTGAAAGGAAACAGGATTCAGAGAAGTGGAACTGGCTTCTGCTTTTAGCACAAGCACAGAGACCCTCTAATTTTAACTCTTCATGAATGTAGCATTTGAGCAATTAGACTTACAAAGCAGGGAAGAATCTCCCCATTCTCTCAATATAGGCAGCTCCAGCTGAGATGGTGTCATGTTCTGGTTTAGAAGCAGTCACGTTTCTCCACACCCATTCCTAGACAATTGACAATATTTTCCTTATGAGATTTCTTTTTTTTTCCACTGGGAGCAAAGCTCTTCAGTATTTGCAGAATGTAGTGTAGGTGAGGGTCACTTCTCAGCTGTAAGTTAAAGGCCATTGTCATCTACTAGAGGGCAGTGGACCAGCAGCTGTGTGCTTTCAACATCATGGTGTATGATGGAATGTTTTGTCTCCCGTGGCAAGTTGCCTGAACCACTTGGTGAGTTGCTGCCTCCCTAGCTCACTGCCTAAAGCCCAATCCCAAGGCAGGGAAACACATCACAGGACTATCACCTTCACTGCAGAGAGGCTGATCCTGCTGGAACCTACTGATCAACACCAAGCTTAGGTGATTACAAAAGCAGGGGATGTATCACTGCACCACCTTCACTTGCTGCAGTTGTTTTCCAGTGTTGAAAAACACACTATAACATCCATTTTTACACAAAATAATACCACTTGCTTTTCACAGTAAGGACAGGATACCTCTTAGTAAAATGTGCTGCTATATGCCCGTGATGGTTTTAGCAGGGTGTTAATAAGCCTGCAGGTTGGCTTTATCACTGCTTCTGAAATAAATTAAGGTTTCTTTTGTCAAAGCTTTTAACAGACTTTTGGATTGGAAAAGTGCCGAGATGGTCACAGGATCGCATGACTCAGAGGGCTACTGAGATTTAAAAGTGTTTTAAAAGTTTAAAACAATAAAAATAGCTCTACTGTGTCATTTTTAATAGATATAAATGTGTGTTACACAATTCAGACCCAGAAACTCCTTTCAGTAATGAACAAAGATCATCATCATAGCTGACATTTCTGAAATGCTTGAAAAGTAAGTTCAAGGTCATGTTTGAATGCAAACATGTTACACACAGTAATTATCATGAGTTTGTTATATGTGCTGGTACAAAGTATTCAGAGAGTCATGTATCAAGTAAACTAATGGTCTATTATTGAGCAAAGTTTAACATCAAGCAATGTGCTATGAATTTTAAAACATTTTTTTAATGTCAGACACAGAAACTGTAATGAGAAAAGTATTTTGATTACAGAAGATTTACGAAAGAGGAGAAGAGGGAAGGGGGGAAGGAGAGTAGAGGGAAAATTTCTTTAAAAAACAAAACACAAGGCAACATTTTCTAAATGGATAGCATTTAGACCCTGCTGTGAGCTAACAGGATGGGATCTATGGAAGTGAATTAAACTGTGTTATGCATATTAATATCTTGAGTTTCCCAAGGCAGGTGAAACTCTTTCCTGTTCATTTCTAAGCTTGTACATCCTGACCCAGTGTCAAACTGAAACTCGAAGGCTGAAAGCGCTCTTGGCCTCTCCAGGAGACCTCTGTGAGTAATGCACAGGTCTCATCTCCTGACACAGGATCCCTTTGCTGGAGGCAGTTTCAGTATTAATCAGTCTGTCTGTCGCTAGGGGCTACAACCTGCTAACAAAACCCTCAGACTTCTCCCTGATTCATTGCAGTCCATGCTCTAATTTTACAGGGGTTTAATTTAAGTAATGTGATTTCCCCCAAGATTTTTTTTTTTTAAGAAAAAGGTGTTTTACCAAAAATATATATTGATGCCATGATCTTTTCCTACTACTTATTTTATATTTGTACTGTGCTAAAATCTTGGCTTGCCTGTTTTTTAAAATCCCTGGCAAAACACTTCTAATGTCACAGTGGGGACAAATCCTGGAGAATTGTCCAGGAAGACACATTAATTAATATCTGTGCTGGTGGCACAGCAATACCTGCCAATAAAGTGAGTGGAAATTGAATTCAGGGCCATATTTGTTCAAGGCATCTCTGGAGGTAAAGCAACCACATGGTTTTCATCACTTCACAGTGGTGTGGCCCCAACATACAACGTTCCTAGGGGTGAAATTCACTAAAAAAAAAAAATAAAAATTTAGTGCTTAACCAAAATGGCATTACTGTGGCTATTAGAGATAAGGGAAAGGGATAAGATTCAGACCTGAAGGGCTAAACCACTCCAGAAAATTTAGGGGTATGATTTAGATGGCTTTACAAGTTGAGTTCAGCAGGGAAGAGGAAATGCAGCAGTGGGATCCAGTAGCTCCATGAAGGAATGAGACAAAATGTTAAGACCCAGCAAATAATCTTGAAAGATGTGATTCAGCAAAGCATATTACCACTGTTTAGATATTTCCCTTGGCCAGGCACAGGCTGCCAAGTGGGAACCTATAGAAATCACAGAGAACCTCCAAATAAAGAGAGAAATATATTTGCTGCCTAAGAGATGTAATTGGCATTTGATGCAATCAGTATTTTTCACCTACTGAGTGCCCATCTAGTGAGAGGATCTGTTTCTGGGTTGTTACTGTCTTCATTATTTCAAAAGCCCTGGGAATGACCACTACAGTCATTGTAACAGTCCTCAGCCTTCTTCCTGTGACAGTTTTCATTGGCAGGTCTCAACATTCACTACAAGAGAAGTCAAAATCATTAACCTCATCTTATAAACAGGATGAATAAGGCACAAGAGGGACAGAGGGGGCAAGATCTCTCCTGAGGTCAAACAAGGACTCAGACACAAGCCTGCACAGTCCCAGGCCAGTGATCAGCTGTGGGGGTTCCTAATCCATTCCCTCTGCTCATCTGTGTTTGGTCTCTGATGTTTTTTTAAGGTCTATACACATAAATGAGGCACTGATACAGAACTGGTAGAATTCCAGATAGATCATTGACATTGTTTCACTCTTGTCATGTTCAAATATTTTTTGTTCCCCACCCAAAATTACTTTAGAGACAAACAAGTTTTAATAACTCTAGAAGCACCTGTGTCTATTTAAAACCATTTCCTAATGCAAAGCCACTCCCAAGCATAGTGGCATATGTTACATTTTTTAAGCAGAGCATTGAAGTCAGTGGTTGTGAATGGAATTTATCTGCAAAGATATTGCAATATTTGGAGGTGTTGGGAAAGCCTTTTTAAAATTCCACTTACTGGAAATATGAGAAAAGAATGTAGTTTATATCACATTTTTTAAAAAATACAATTCTAGCCCTATTTTAGGAAATAAAGCCAGGAAAATGGGAATTTAGGAGCCTTGAATATAGGGATTAATTTAAAGATTCCACCACTTTTGCTTATTTGTATACTTTTCATAAGGCTTCCTGTTTTAGGAAATCTTGCTTTTAATTTTTGATGACTTAGGAGTAGTGACTGTTTAGATCCAGGGAAGAGTTTTTTGCTCTGGTTTTCATATTCCTTATGGGAAACTCCTGGAGAATTATGGATCTGGTAGATAAAAGCATGCTAGGACCAGATTTTCTGGGCACAAGATGTTTATGGTGACTGAAAGGGTTGACTGAAAGGTGCAGGGCTTTCATTAGCCCGTGTCCAGATTTCCGTGTCTAACTGTGCTAACAAACCTACCAAGCAGCTCTGAGAGACAAAGGCGGGGGCAGGGAGGGGGCTGGGGCCCAAGGCAATGCACTAATGGGGGCACGTCTCTGTTTTGAACAGTAACTTGAAGATTTCTCCGAAACAGAAGGATAAACTCTAAGTCAGGATACAAAACCTGTGGCCTAACTGGTAATTCTTAACTATTGCCCCCAGTTCTGTGCCTCTGAAAAGCTGTTTCTCTTCTACCTCACACACAGAGAGGAGCATATCAATACACTCTTCAGAGGAGACGGATGGAGAGCTTCATTCACTTTGCAAATCTATGGAAGCCACACTTCAGCACTTTGGCACAAACTGCCTCTGACATTGAAAATTAGTAAAGAAAAGAAGTGGTGAAAATGTCAGGAGCGGGA